CGCGGCGGCGCAGTACCACCACCGGCAGGTGGGGCACTTCGGGTCGCCGCCGAACGGGCACTTTGAGAACCCGTTCATGTCTAGGCCGAGTCTTCAGAGGATGGGGGGTGGCCCTGTGCACAATCACCACCCTGTTTCTGGTTATGTGGAGGACATGGAATCTGCTAATGCTGCCTCTGGAGGTAGAAAGGTTCTTACTCTGTTCCCAACTGGAGATGATTGATTGAATTTGAGTTATATCATGATGATGATGATGATGGTAGTAATAGTTTAGTGTCTCCTTGTTGTGTTGTGAATGTGGAGTTAATATTTGGTCAGTCAGGGTCTTAGTTGGTAATTTTGTATTAGGGTTGTTGGTGATTAATTTGGTGTTGTTGCTAATTGGTGGTTTTGGAGTCTAGATTTTAAGTCTGCAGATTCAAAAGCTCCAGCAGTCATCATGCTTCTGGTGGGGTGTAATTAGTTAATTGATTACCTTGTGGTAGCGGCATATGGTCGGTCTTGTTTGGATAAACTTCTCTATGTCAGCTTCTATGGTGACTGACATTCATCATGATGTCACTTTTTGGGCGGCAATAGTAATGTAATTCTGGGTGCGAATTGGTGGTTTTGTGGCTTTGGGACTTCCTCTGGCTGACTGGGAATTGGCTGCTGATGGGTAGAATCTGGAGGAGGGTCACTCACTGGTTGAGAAGTTTTTTTTGTGTTGTATGTATTCATCATGGCAGGAGTGGCCAAAGCTATCAATTTGGTACTTTGTGTCTGCAGGTGGTAATAAACGTGGATTACAGTTGGTAGAAAAAACTAATGGAAGCGTATCTATCTGATTGGCATGTTCGGTTGTGAATTCTTCGACTAAATTCGGGAACCTCTACTGCGAAAGACTTCTCCCTGGTATCAAGTTTTTGTGTCGTGTAGAGGTGAGTTGTACATTGTTTGATTCTATAGAAGACTCGAATGCCTGATGTGAGGCAATCGTTTAAAATTCTAATCTTACTTCAGTTGTGAGGTCTATATGTTAGATGAACTTAATTAAAGTGTTTCTATAATTTGTAGGTTTACTATGCTTACGAACACAATAAGTTCCATGTTTACTTAATTGTGTATTTCTTCTTTGACTAGAATTTCTGATTCTCTTGTGGGCTGAAACTTAGTCTTCTTATTTGATGGTCAATTTGCTCATGACTATATCTTAGCTATACTATGGCTTAGGGGCATAAGAGATAATGTTCCGATTGTTAGCATTGGCAATCTTTTCTCTGGTTGTGAATGACATGTTAAAAGTACAAATGATTGTTGGATATTGATATCGATATTATTGGAATTGATATGCTATTATCTGAAATTGCTTGTACATCAAATATAGGAAATTTAAGTTAAATGGATGATTGAGATTAAAATTAATTAAAGCAATCTTTGATCATCTGTGTATGATTATATCACCAAGATTTAATTTTTCTCTCTTACTCCCTCTGTAGCATAATAAGTGTCATAATAAAAGAAAAAAGTAAGTGTATGTTAGTTTTTCAATGCAGTATTAATTACCTCTTTTCCATTTGTATCCATAATAATATTATGTATAAAGTAATTTTTATATGGCATCCTTACTAAAAAGGAAGATTAATGATAAGGATAATTCTTTGTAAAATCACTATTCTCTGTCATCTATTTATTATCTTTTCTTGGTCAGTATAAAATAACCTAAGATGATATTTATTATCGGACGGAGGGAGTACTAGTTATGTCTCTCTCTCTCACACACACACACATATATATATATATATATATATATATATATATATAAGAGAAACTAATTATGATTATATAAGATAAATAAACAAAAATAATTAAGATTGGTTTTACTTGAACAGAATGTTCTCCATCTATTTATGGTAGTAAGGACAATATTGTTTCCTCTTATGAGAGCATGCTCTGATTTGATACTGAGTGATAATTTTGACAACCAGTCATCTGTCTAATGTGATCATGATATTCATTCTGGAATTTTTCTCGGTCTCTAAGAATAAGTTGTTTTCATTTGGTTTGTGTACTTGGAAATTGGAACTATTTCTTATCATACTTGCTGTAGTTTAATTTCAAATTAAAGTGGAAGCTTATCTCTATAGTTAGGTGTGGTCAGCATCACTTATGAGCTGGTCAAAGAACGTGCTGGCTCGTTATATGTGAGACTCCTTGCGTTCAATCTTAAACTGTTTTGCTTCTTTTCAGTTTCAGAATTTCTTAATATGTTTGTCATGTTTTTTCTTGAATGTATTTATGTTTTTAGAGAAACAAGGATTAGGCTTCAGCGTGGCAAGATTATTAACAATTTGTACTGTGTCTGTCCTTTCACGGCTTGCTTGAACTTTGCTTCCTTTTGCCATTGATGATCAATGGATAATGATCATCGCCATACGATACTCCTCCTCCCACCCAGTGTCCACTTAAAAACTTGTATATATATGGTTAATTTTTCTTCCCAAATGATTAAAGTAAATTAATGTAATTATAAACAATTTATCAGTAAACTAGACAGTTTGCACGCCCAGTTTACCCGTGTGTAGAACAGTCAGTCAGGGGGAAAAAATTCCAGGCTTACGAGGCACCATTGGCTTACCCGCGTTTATATTTGGTCAGTTTTTATATTACTATTGATGACTATTAGTGTTATGATACTATTAAAATATCTGATAGTTAACTTTATTTTAAAAGCAGTTAATATTATCACGAGGTTATGAGTTGTCGCCAGTGGTTAAGTAAATGTTTAAATATGGTTAACTTTGTTTTATATGTGATTAATAATTAATAATGTTATAACAATGTCATGTGGTTAACCATATTTATGCACAAAAGGCAGTAAAAAGAGAGCCTAAGATTCATCTTTCACGTGTCACATCTAGTTGTATTTAACCTGTAACTATTATTTCATTTTCCACGTGTATTTGTTGTATAAGAGTACATGACAATCAATGAATCATCACTTTGTGTATATGATAAAATGACTCGCAACTAGGACAAAGATTTAATGAGAACCAATTAGGGTTCTCCGATCACATTTGAGTACTCATTTTTCAATATGTTGATATGAAGATTTCAAACCACGAAAACTTCCTAGGTTAAGATAGATGATACTAGAGATCTTTCTCCCATTTTGTATTTTCAGTTGATACAACTTTGTCTTCAAACAGAATATTTGTCAGTGACTTGGATGTATAATGCTCTCTAGCTTGTTCTGCAAGACTTTTGGTGATGTCTCCTTTAACACACTATGTTTGATTTCATGAAAAAGAGTTAATTGAATTATGCTCACAACCTTCTTTTAGATTTGAGCTAATTCTCTTTAAATAATTGCAATTAACTTTTTATTTTCCAAAGCTTGATTACCTTACTACACTAAAAGATATATTGAATGGTACATTGTCAAGTCATAAATTTTGTTTTACTATTTAGTAATTGGAATATCAAATTTTTATATATTTTCCACCATAACTTTGATGTTACTATCAGGAAAATTTCTCTCCACAAAACAAAATTACTCACATGTTCAAAGATCTTAATTAGAACACATACTATAGCCTTTATTTCTTAGCTCTCTATATTAAGGTAAATTGTAATACAAAATTCAAATAATATCATCATCCTAATTTCAAATGGGAAAAAGTCCATAAAATAAATTGAAACAAATTGATAAAAAATTTGTAAATCTAAACAATATTCTAATTATTTAAAAAATTACAAATTTCTAAAATAATCCCTTTTAAATTTTAACCGATTTCATTTATTTTGAAAATTAATTTTTTCTCCCAACACTATATATATATATATATATATATATATATATATAACTTTTGTTTCCTTTTAATTCTTAATAGTTTTATAAACGTCACAATTTATCTAAAAATAATCCCAAAATAATATGTACTGGGATTAAAATTTAAAAGTGAATAATTTTAATTATAGAAATTAAAAGCTAAAGTTTTTGAAATTATGGAGATGAAAATAGTCATTAAACCATAACACTTAAAGTTCATCCCAAATCTTGTCTATATACATGGAAAATGTGGCCTTTTCTATCCTATTTTATTGTTTGGACTATGTTTAGTGAAGCTTCAGTTGAAATACTGAACAAAGGTGAAGGCAGCAGTGTCTCCAACTAGAATACTAGTACCAATTATCAGAATAAGACAGTGTAGTCCAGTATACCGTTCAATAACTTTCAATTAAATGTGAATTATGTTGATCTAACCACTAAATTATAGTTTTATATCACCTTGTATGTGTATATTAAATTTTGTTAAAATTGAATAATAATTTGAAGGTAGTCAAAGTGTTCATATTTTAATATATTTTGCAATGTATATATTATGTTAATTTTGTTCTATAAGAATGAAATATCAAATCATCTAGAATTAATATAAAATTTTGTATATATATGATCTAGAAGTAAGAAACTTTCAATCTAATGATAAATTTTAAAAAATTCACATTTAATTGAAAGTTATTAAGTGTTATAATAGTCGATAAAAATTACGCATATATCGTTTGAATCCTCCTTATATATATATATATATATCAAATTACTCCAATAGTAACTCTTAATAAAGTTATTTCTTTCAATAATTCATGATGTATATAGAATTTCAACAATTAAACTGTTAAATTAAAAAATTTTAATGCATAAATTAAGTCTATAATTTTTTAAGGAAAATAAAAAATTATTTAATAATTCATTTCAATTATTAAAATTGACATATACTCATAAAAATATTTTATACATTAATATAAATTTATACAACGAAATATAAATAATTTTTAAATTTTTAAAAATTTGTAATTTTGATCCATGTAATAACAACTTTTAATTTAACTATACCATGAATTATTGAATTTAATAATTTTACAAAAATTATTCTTAGAGTTATTTCATCTCATATATATATATATATATATATATATAATTAAAGAGAGATATTTTTTGGGGGTGGGGGGTTTGAATTAGATTTTGTCGTGCTGGAATATCATTATCTCTTATTTTCTTAGTGGTCACGTTATTGTCTCTTGTTTTCTTAGCAGCTACGACAGCAACACTATGATCTCATTGCTTGTGAAAGTAATTGTCTCGAAGAAATTTTGATTTATTTGACATTTGGCGCAACACAATCGATTTTTTGACTCTGGAAAGATGAAAGTTTAACTTCATTCAAAGTTTCCTTCATGCAACAAAGTTGCGGTCGTACAGATATCCCTACTCACTAACTCACCAACTTCGTGCACTGAGCATTCATATTGACATTTGGCCACTTACGACTAATCAATTGTCTCGATGGTGCACTAAGTACCCGTCAAATCTCTGATCACTAATGCTATCAAAGGATAAAGTGCATTTCTTTTTTATATATAAAAATGTTCATATGATAAATCATGATAATTTCCTTCCAAGTAAGATAAAATACTAACCTCAAAGGGAAAGACTCATCTATCCTTTTATGCCTTGACAATGAGAATAGTGGATATGGGTAGGTGTCACTTCTTTTCTTTATTTGGTTATTAAACTTGTTAATGAGAAACAATATATTAACAGAGAATGGAAACCTTGATCACCATGTTATATGAGATTAATTCCTTCAGTTAAATCCAACTCTCGTTCTTCTTCTACGTCGATTTTCAGAGCACATGTGCCATATATAACAGATGATTTTGCAATTGCAAAGGAATGAATTAGGTTGATCCTATGCAGAGCTGAAACAAGAGTCAGGTCTTGTGTCTTTGCTTCCTATATTATACTGGACACGGATGATGATTGATATAAGGAAATATATATAGGAAGCAAAAAAGACACAATATATATATATAAATAGATATGAAATTTATTTTAAGAATAAATTTATTTAAACTTACTCTACTTAATAATTTATATTCTACATGAAATTTTAATTATTTAATTATTAAATTATAAGTTTTTAATGTATAGATATAGTTTGTAAATTTTTTTTAAAAATTAAAATTATTTTACACTCTATTTCATTAATTCAAATTGATGAATAATTATATATATATATATAATCTTATATATTGATTTGAATTTATATAACCAAGTATCAAATAGTTTTGATTTTTAAAAATTTTTGTAAACTTAATCTATGCATTAACTTTTATTTTAACAGTTTGATTGTTGAAATTTGATATAAAACATGAGTTATTGAGTGAAATATAGGTAGACTTACTCCACTCAATAACTCATCATCTACATTGAGTTTTAATAATTTAACTGTTAAATTAAAATTTCTTAATGCATAGATCAAATTTGTAAATTTTAAAAAAAAC